TTTTTTGGTACCGGGGATTGAATTCGGGTCCTTGCGCTTGCGCAGCAGGCGGTGAAACCACTGAGCTAAATCCCCGGCCCCGTCACAGTACATTCTTGAGAGTACAGGTCTAGAGAGAATACATTTTGATTTGGACTAGTGTGGAGGCGTAGAGTTGGACAGAATGAGTAGATTTGGAGTGTGTGGGAGTTAACTCTTGTTGATGTGCTGAATCGAGGGTGCATCCAAGATGTTTAGCTTCTGCTCCTGGGTGGACGACACTGCTTAGGGAAGGAGCTTCGCAGTTGGAGGGATGTGAATCAAGAGTTCTGTTTTTGCTGTGTTCTTTAGGATTGGCTTATTATCCATGTGGTTGTAACTGGAAGGCAGATCTAATGTTGGGTATTTAAGGGAAAAGCCATAACTGGATTTGGGAATGTGTTAGTCCACTAGGGCTGCCATAAAAATACTCTAGATTGAGCGGCTAAACCAGCAGACGTGTATTTCTCACAGTTCTGAAGGCTGAAACTCCCAGACCAAGGTGTCAGCAGGTCTGGCTCCCTGGGGGCCTCTCTCCACGACTCTTACATGTCTGCCTTCTTGCTGTGTCCTCACAGGGCCTTTCTCTGTGTGCATGCATCCCTGGTGTCTTCTTACAAGGACACTAGCTGTGTTGCATCGAGACCTCTTCCTTGTAGCCTCACTTAGCCTTAATTACCTGAGACCTGTCTCCAAATACAGACATACTGTAGGTTAGGGCTGCAGCATATCCATTTGGGAGTGATGCAGTTCAGTCCATAACAGGGAGTAATCGGCATAGAGATGTTATTTAAAGCCATGGGAGCTAAGGAAAATGCATACGAAGGGGAGAGGAGATAGCCTGATGAAATGGAGTCAGTGAGGGAGCCTGGAAGGAAGCAGCTATGGCGACGGCAGGTGAGTGGGTGGGAGTGTCACTGAGACTCTGAGGTGGAAGGGGAGGAGAATGTTGGGTAGAGAAGACCAGAGTGGCAGGAGTTTGGGGAGTGACTGGTAAGAGGTGTCATTCAAAGCTGACAAAGGGCCTAGAAGACTTGAGTAAAGGTGATTGTTCTAATCCAGAAGAAGCAGGCAGCCATGAAAGATTTGAGGAGGAATCATTCGGACGTTGTGACTGCTGAGGGTAAAGGAATGACACCAGAGAGGTTGTCAGGGCAGGTAGTTACTCCTTTTGTTGAGGTGGGTAACGACTGGGGCAGGGCCTCAGGAGTTCAGCTTCAGACCTCGCTGTTTATGAAGAGCATTCTTATTCCTTTAAATCTAGGACCTTTTTGTCGAGCAGAACTGGAAATAATTTGAAGGCTTATGTGTTTATCTCAACTTATTAAACATCCTTAGAATAGCCATGTAAGTTATAAACCAGGGTCACAATTATTTAAGGAGCTCTAAAAATCAAAAAGTTGTACGCTGGCAGTTACTCACGTGTATGCTATTTTCAGTTGTTGCCAGTAGAGGGAGAATTTTGAAAATACTGATGGTTAAGAGAAGAGTAAATTATTTTATGAGGTATAAACTTGCTCATTGAATAGGACTAATGGTTAAGTCTTTAGTTTCCTAAAATAATAGATGATTAAGTTTGAGAGAGTTTAAATGGTATTAATGAATTTTCGCATAATTGTGACTATGGTTTTTGCTATGTATGTCATTTGGAAAGAAAATATTCTATCCATTTTTATCTATGTCAGAGATTCCTAAGAATAAATTAGTGGCAAGAAAATTTCGGTAGCATCATCGAATAATACATAAAACATTGTGCCATCACTTTACTGACTTCTGTAGAAATGACACATGAAGATTTTGAAAGATACCCTAATTAAGTTAGCAGAGTTCATAGCAAGTTTTTTTGTGACATTGATTGCATCGTACTTAGTAAACATGGTAGTATAGATAGTATAGATTAAACCCCGCAGAGACATGGTCATGCGAGCCAAAGGGATCAGTCATCACTCTTTGAGTCATTGCTATAGCTTTGTGTATATCTAATTACAGGACTGTTCCCTGATGTGGGTGGAGGTTATTTCTTGCCAAGACTTCAAGGAAAACTGGGTTACTTCCTTGGACTGACAGGATTCAGACTAAAAGGAAGAGATGTATACAGAGCAGGAATTGCCACGCACTTTGTAGATTCTGAAAAGGTAACTGGAGGCATTATGAGTGGTTACAGTCACAGAGTTTTGCTAAATATGGCTATGAACCCTGACCTGTTACTTATATATAGCATAGGAATTGTGCATGACCTTCCGGATTCTCAATTTTTTCAAGTAAAACAGAGGTAATAATATTGGGATTCAGTGCTATCTTACCTCATACTTTCAGTGAATATTTTTAATGAATAGAGTCTATTTTAAAAGTAGTGCCTGCCTTAATAAATTCTCATATATAAAATCAAAATATGTAAAAAGAAGGGCCTTTTTAATAAATACATTTTTAAAAATTTTATTGGTACATTTTGATGATAGTATAATGACATTCATCATTGGAAATTTGCACCTTTACATATAATATAATACAGTAT